CTTTCAACTAATCGTTATTGAAATTCACGCATCACATATCGACTTGACTTAATAAGTCAAACCGAGCGAAGCATTCTTTCTTCTTTCTCACTATTTTTCATCAAATTTCAGAGCTTCAAAGTTATTCATGGTCTTAAATTATCCGCTATTGAAATACACGCATCGAAAATCTATTAAAGCCTCAGTTGCAAGAAAGCCACTTATAAATAATGCATGTATGTGTGTAAACGGACACTTATCTGCACTGATCTCAAATCTTACACAGGTATGATATAAAATATTGATCGATACTTTACGAGAAATCTATCAGTGCAGCCATCCACCGAAAAAATAATGGATTTCTCTTTCCCCAGACTAATATATACAAGACGGTAAAATACGATCACTGTGTCGAGTGAACTGAACTTGAACTTGAGCTGTGTATTGTCTTTTTAGGACATTAAACTAAACTGATCAAGCTAAATTTATTATAACATTTGACAACACTTTGCGAAATATAAAAGCAAGTAAGAAAGTTATATTCAGCGGGGGTCAAATCTCACACACTTATCACAATGTTTTTCTGATTCTACCAGATCGAGGTGTTTACCATGTACATTTTAGAATCGACCCATTATCAGGCAGATAATATATCTTCCGTTGAGGAATGTACAAAATTGTTTTAAACATTTTGTCTTTTTCGCGATATGATAAATAAGCATAAAAGTGAAAAAAATAAAATTTAATCACTTACAACTTTGTGTTGGCATGGCCGATTTCTCCCATTTTTGCACCTAAAGCGTACAGTGTTCCATAAAGCAAATGTAAAAAATTTCAACTTTCTAATTTTAAACACATTCCCAGCAACAAGCAAAAATTCACACATTTTTGTTAAGAAAACTGGGGTTACGTTCAGTTTACGCCCAAAGCTGAGCTTCTGCTCTAACCAATTTGGACCATTTTCAACACCAGCTTGCGTGCAAAAACTTCCAATGTTTGTACTAAATTTGAAGTCGATATCTTCATTTTTGGCGACTATAAGAGTGCCAACCACAGACACCACACAGATGGACCGACATAGCCTAATCAATTTAGAATTGCATGGTGACCAAGCGTATATATAGTTTATAGGGTCTCTGAAGCTTCCTTTTGAGTGTTATATACATTATGAAAAAAAACAAAATGAGTACTCCCCCATCCTTTAGTGGTGGGTGTAGAGAATAAAAAATTAATTTTTGTTAGATGGCATTCTTTTTAGACTCTTAGCACACTTCGAATGCAATATGTGAGTTTAAACGGAAATAAAAAAATTGAAATGGAAAAATAACGAGAATAAATGACTCAGGTCTAACGAAGCCTTACTGGCATGAATAGTTATGACTTATCATAAAAAGGGGTATCTACCATTTGCTGATACATTGTGTTTAATAAGCAATAAACCATGCGTTTAATGCTCTCACAAACGGAGCTTAATTGATAAGCATAGAAGTGGATGGAATTTTTTCCCCTAACTGAATAAAACTAAACCAGTTTATTACCATAAATGCGTCACACTGTCTTAATATATAAAATCCTTCTCTGTTTTATTACGTTATTCTGTGCAGAGTTCCATAAACAATTGCGAACATAACATCTATTTAAATGCAATTGGAAAAGAAATTTATGTTTTTTTTCTTAACATAAAATCTTGTTATAATTTAAGCATAAAATTGTTTTTAATGCTTTAGTTTTCTCAAAAATAAATTCCAGTTCATTATACAATAATAATAATAATAAGAAGAAGGAGAAAAAAATCAATATTAAAATAAACAAGATTTTCGTTGTCAGCTTAGCGTCGTTGTCTGAATAGATTGCAGGTATGCATGCATGTTCATCTATACTTTATACTCTATGTGTTGGTGGAACCATTGTTTTATTTTTTATTTATTTATTTATTTTTTTTTTTTTTTTTTGCTTTTCAGACTATTAACATTTTAAAGAAGATTTAAAACAAGTGCCATGACCTTGAGCTGTATTTAGTTATAGCAGAAACGCTTGAATGTGTGCGTAATATATATGTCACCATAGATATATGTATGTATACGTACTTGCGTACGAGTTTGTATAATAAAACTTGATATCCATTGCATCTGTGTGGGGGAAACAAAAAAAAAAAAAAAAGAAAAAAGTGAAAGATATTATACTCAGTTTGTACCGAATCCTTGAAACCCACCTTTTATAATATTCGCGGAAAGAATTACGTTGTGCTACATATGATAGTAAGTGCAAACCATATAAAGCGTATGGAAGATACAATTATCAACAGTGCTTCCTGCATATATCGCATGTGAATTTACGATATTTATTGATATATCCTACGTTTCGCACGCTTACATGCGATATTTACTTGCAAAATATATCGCGAATATCCATTTGCTTAGAACTCGTTCTATTATGTATAGTGCAAATTATATATTTTCGTAAAATGCTCAAAATCCGATTAATTAAATGAAAAATTATCCGCCTGAGTAGCCGAAGGCGAGGAATCGCGAGTAGCAAGTCAATGGTCGGGGGTTCGAATCTCAAGTGCATTAGAGTTTTTAATAAAAGCCGATAGGCCTAGATGCTAGTGCTTTTATAAGAGTTTAGACTTAGAGTTTATTCCTCTGGCGAAATTAATAGTAATAATAATAATAATAAATGAAAAATTTATGCTTAGATTAGATCCGATTTTCTCTTATCCACATAACATCACGACCTTTTAGCTCGAGAGCCATCGTCTCTCGTGTGAAATCATGCTTTTCCACATTCTCTCTGCAATCGTTTAAACTAGAAACAATTCCGCTTTATTTACATATATTTTTTCAATAATTGCGGACGATGTCATATCTGATTTAGCGGACTGCCGTGCAAGATACGGAAGTTACAATAAAAAGACGCATAGAGGTAAGATCGAGGGTCTAAAGTAAAATTGTGAAATTTTGAACTAAGAAACAAGATTATTAATGCCGTTTTTCCACTAATTGCGGGCACTCTTTTGATACAATTTATCTGAGTCACGAGTTTATCTTTAAAGTTGCGTAATAAAAGAAAAAATTTATAACAAACTTTAAGATCTTAATAATGATTTTAATACACAGGCGACGTACAGGCAAGCAGGAAAACACGAATAAATGGAGCATGCTTTGCATGTTGATTAAATATTCGTAAGATTTATTGGATCTTTACGGCATTTTCATTACTTAAAAATAAAAAATTGTAATCAGGCTCTGACAAAGAGAACAAAATCAAATGGAAACCGAAAGTCTCTACACGAAATTTTGAGCAGCAAAATGTTTTATTCCCTTGGTTTTCCATTCGTTTTACTTTTGAACGATCCTACCAAAAAAAAAAAAAAAACATAACCTTATAAGAGGAGATAAGAGAACCTTTGCAACAATTCTTGGTTTATTAGGCGAATGGGTAGAGAGATAGTCAAGATCTTAAAAGGTAGACGGAAGGTAGACGGACGGACGGAAATATGTAATTGACGGGCTCGAACTGGTATACATGTCTATACTTGATAAATTTCCTATAGGCCTTTCAATAAATGGAAAAACCGCTTTGGAATAATTCAATTGATTTCGGCTGTTGAGACAAGCACCTTAATAAGAAAAATCATTCATCAATTAGTTAAATATCAACCAATAGTCAGTTTCGTTCCAAGATTCTTAAGGATTCACTTAATTTCTTTAACTAAGCTTAACGGTTGTGTTAAGAAATGTTGAGAAGCGGCTTCTTCTTGCAAACAGAAAGTTTAATGGTGTAATTTTCACAAACATCCTTATAAACGTTCATAGGGAACTTGATACCGCTATTTTTGTTTATCAAGTCTCTTCATACTTTCCAAGCATTCAAGATATGATAACGAACGAGCGAAGAAAATATATAAATCGCCACTTCTTAAGCTGTTTCCATATTTCAGATTAGTTGTAGACAACATAACGGAGAGCACGTCAAAATGACATTAACTCTTTGTATACTATACGATTTGAAATTATTGGAATTCGTGAAAGGTAATAAAACAAAAATTAGGGGCCCAAACGGTTAGTAGGAGTACAGTGTATATTGCCTGGCTTTCAATATTGATAGAAGAGAATGAGGTTCTAGGACAAAACTTGATTTTCTAAACGAAATTTTAAGCTCGTAACCCTGATCGGAAATTTTTTTGCCTATTTATGTCGATCAAGAAACTAGTTTATAGCATTCTCGTTATTTCTAAGCGTCAGAAGCGCTACTCAAAGTTAACATACCATCATTTGTGACGGTACATAAAGAACTCATTAAAGTGGAGCAAATGTTGCATAGAAAAGTCAACCATTTCTCTCTACTAAACATTCACTCATTCTTCCTCTCTCTCTTTCTCTCCCTCATCCCGCTCTTTATATCTCCTTCCCCTTAGCTAGAGTACAGTACACTTGTCAAGTGGGTATCATTTTGCCAACAAGCAATGAACATTTAAAATCTACATAATAGTTATTAAGCAGCATAAAATGTTCCGAATTCGGAGTTAACATGGAAACTTACATGCATGGATGCGTCAGCAAGTGTGTGCTGTTTGCTGATTTCTATATATCTATATATATATACACGTATATATATATGACTGCAGGTATTAAACCAGAATAAAACAACAAAGTCAAAAGTATGCAATTTCTCAGAACAAACGATAGGGATCCAACATAATATGTGCCATATGCATATGTATGAGTTTTAAACCTCAAACCTCACTACACTCATTACCATATACCCCGGCTGGTTGACAGTGCCACTGTGTACAACATTCGCTATTATATAGCTATTGAATGAATTGTTTCGAATTCACATAAAATTCCATTTTATGCAATTTTTTCGTATACTATTTTCATGTGCAAACACACACCCGGTATGCTTACATATGTAACATACATATACATTGACATGTACATACATATTCATATATATGCATATCATCATATTCCTGTTGGATTGTAAAAAGGCAATTGAAACGTTTAATAACATACCTGTCGTTGCGTGGCGTGGCTTTCGTTATTCCGCGTTGCTAAAGAAAGGGTCCTACAAAAAATACGCACGCTTTTCTCATATAAACAGTAGAATTTTATCCATGCATAACACCTTATACATGGTAAGAAAATTGCACAGAGTTCTTGTTTCTTTTATTTATTTATTTTTTTTTTTTCTTCCGTCGAATTGATTTTTTGAGATTTCTTAGAAATTCTTGTACTTTCTTTATTTGAAAAAAAAAAAAAAAAAAAAAACGAAACGAAAAACACCAAAGCAGTATTTTCTTAGCACGTTTGTTTAAAATTTATGAGTTGAGTTGCGTTTAGTTATTTTTCCTTGCTTTTTTTAAAACCAAACGAAATCCGTTTAGATTCTAATACTATAGAGAACGAACACAACGAAATTCAATGATATTCTTTGCACGACACAATCATAAAAAATTCTTCTCTTTATGCTATATTTGATTATTATTATATATTTTTTTTTTTATGCTGAACGACTTGTTAGTATATTTATATAAAAAAATTATTTTTCTCACATACGCGTTTTCAATTATTTAATAAACCGTCTTAGCCAACGTTTAACTAGCGACTGATCTTAGGTATCATCAACTTACTGTGATGGATCGACGCTAATATTACTACGTCTAGTACTCGCATCATTCACTGAGCAGATTCTAGCTTTTTCAATAGTTATTAATAACCGTAGTTCTAACTTAATCATTATCGTACAACTATAGAACAATAAGCCATCGTTGCGCTGAGTTTTGTTTTCAAGTATTAATTGCAAAAATTCCATTACAATTTAAATTATTGCATGAACAACAACAATAACAATAATAACAGCAATGATTAAGCATGTCTTGGAACATCAGAAGTAGACTAAGCAGCTATCAACGAACAGGCAACGATAACAGCAAACGTGTATTAAACGAATCAATAGAGTGTTTTGATGTGTAGTCTTAAACAATTTTATAACCAGTTTTCTTCTTAATTCGATCTCTTTGTCTCTCCCTATATATTCTGCCTTTTTTTTTGCTCTCTATATATCTAACTCTATTTATATTCATATATATGTATGTGTATATATTTTATTTGCAATATTACCTCATTAAACTCTTTTTCATTGATTACACACTGTTTGCCGACTAAACCAAGCATAAAAAATGTGCTAAAAAAATTCCGTCCAACTAAAACTAGCCACTACTACTACCACTACCGATTGCTGACATGAATCATTTTCAAGTCTAGTTAACCGCTTATAAAATTCTCTTTTGTAAATATAGTAAAAAGAGCCCTATGAGTAGAGAGAAGAGAACAAGAGAAATATTACATTTGGTTGTCGTACATGCTAAAAATTATTTAAACAATTTTGTAAAAACAGCTTTTTAGGCTTCAGAAATTTACAAAACATTTCTCGTTATATTGAAAGTTATCATTCCATGTAATTATTACTTTCCTCGCAGGCCATAGGATCCATTCTATGCCGTTTCACTGATATAACTCCCATTTGGACTTTGAATTTCGAACTTAAACCGTCTGCTCGTTTCCTAGTGTGTTTCCAAAAACCATTTTTATACTTCACTTAAGACTAGCAATTAACAATAACAAAAAAAAAAAACCTGTAAATTAGTCATAAAGTACAAGTGAAGCCTTTGGCGCTTTTGTAACGAAGGTCACCGCGATCAGCCTCGCAAGGTCGCAGTCAGAAAGGCATCCTTACCTTACCTTGCACAGAGAAGACCCAAACCAAATATTGGGGCAGACATACCTCGGGGACATTCGATACATTCGATACTTTCTTTACGGGCTATAAACTGAACCAAAATTAATGCAGTATTAATGCAGGATTGTACGCTATAGGTGCCAAGTTAGGAATATTTTGAAAGTAGACCGTGTTTTCCGTCCGACGGTGACTGACGATAGGTCATTGAGGTTAAGTATAAGCATTTCAATTTTAATTTTTATCCGCTAATTTCTTTATAGGCAATTGCTTCCCTGTATTTATTATTAGAGCTGTGTATTTTAGTTAGTGACATAAGTCAATTAATAAAAGGAAATTGGAAAAAATATATTAAGATTTTATTGAGGCGAGTTTTATAAACAACGAAAGTAAGGAACCCTGAAATAGCCACTGAAGCTTGTCCCGGCATTATATTATTAAAAGGTAAATATTGCCAACGAAGCAAAAATTTTGCACATCACAAGTTCTACCTTAGTACTTTAGATGATACCAAGGTGTAACATAGAAATGCTACAGTTCTTAAATCGTCTTGCAACAATAATTGTGTCGAAGCCATTTACTTTGACTCAGCCGTCGTCGAACGAAGAGGTAAGTTTTATTCTCCTTCCAACCTTCCGTACAATTTACATTTACCTAAAAGCGTAGCCTTGAGGTAATATCGAAACCATAATGCTTTATAATATCAAAATCACATTTGTGAAGATTAAAGTTTAGAAAAATTTCTTATGATATCAAGGTATACCTCAGCGGCTGTTTCCGGCGTTTGATGTTTATATTTCCCCGCATGGACAAAAAATTCTATTGCCCGATTAACTTTGTTTTTTAGTAATGTCGCTTATCTTTTACGGATAGCGTTTACTTTAAGTAACCGAACAGCTTACCGCCACAACATATATATCCGAGGAAAATTTAATGGCTATGCTTCTTATAATAACTTATCTCAGGACTCTGTGAAACTCTAACTAAGCATATAACCTAACCGTGTAAAATATGCAAAGGAATCTTACTGAAGTTTAATCATCAAACTTTATGTATCTCGGGCTATTATCTATTATCTATCATTGTCTGTCAATCAGGACGGTCAACTAAGGGAACTAAAACTAGTCAGCTCTTCTACGGGCAACTCCCTTACGAATAGTTGCGTATTATTCTTACATTTCGATGATGTTATCCAGTTCGATCCAGAAGGAAAAGAATATTCGTTCCCCTCTATACCTTAGTTCGAAATTTAACATTAGCTAAAAATAACTGCTTTATCTGACTAGTGCTGCACATATACAGGAAAAGGTTACAGTAAGCGAAAATACCTTAAAGTGCGCTAAGTACGTATGACATACTTACGTGTAATTGTGAGACCAAAACGACTCTTCGGACTTTGACTCTCACATGTTACATTAAAATAATTGAGAACAGTAAGGAACCGTTCAATGAAAAGGTTTATTAGGTGATGGGGATGTCAAAGCTACCAACCTAATCGAACATTTGGGATATATTGACGTGCAAAAACGCAATAATGAAATCTATATTCCAGACTTACTAGACAAAAGCATATCATTTTTATTACAAAAAAAAAAAAATTAAAATTAGCGCAGAGTAAAAATTCAGTGCACTTAGTTAACAACAAGCGAGCACATTTATTATGGATTGGATCAAAAGCACTATCATCAGCAGATATGTCAAATATGTGAGATTTGTGGCATAACTGTTGTGTTTGAGATGAATTTTATTCGTTGTTGCCAGCATCTGCTTTCTTGGTTTCTGAAGTTATTTGTATAATTCTTAATAATCATTTACACAAAACTTAAGATTACGTTGAAATTTTAATGCAGGATCCATGGCAAGATCATGAGTAACAAAGTGTTGTTCACCATTTGTAGTAAATGTCAAGCTCTCACGAATTACCTCAGCCGCTGGTAACTGAACTTAAACTTCGACTGTTGCTATATATATAAATTTCTGTGAAATACTGTCAAAATTAGAGCTGAAAAAAAATTTTTTTTTTTTGGAACAAAAAAAATTCGTGTAAAAAAAGTTTATTTGCTTTCATCGGTAAACTGTATTATTTCAAATCGTGTAAAAGAGATCAGATGAAAAAGACTTGAGTCTCAATTATTAAACGTGAACCGTGTTATTTCAAAATCGTGTAAAAAAAGAGTTTAGTCCATGCCATATATGCTTTTTAAGAAGAGTTCCAAGATTTTATTTTTTAGTTTTGAAGTGATGAGGATAAAGTCCCAGGGACATATGGTCAGGTTCTCTAGGCTTGTCTTCTACTTTTTTTTCTTAAATGAATTGCGTTGCTTGGGAGGGGAAATGTTATCAATGATCGAGAAAATAAATTTTTCTTAACTGCACGAAGAAACAAGTATAAAATTCCTCTAAAATTTTGCTCGCTAGAAAATGTTACCCCTTTTGAAAGAGTTGATCCATAGTGAACAGCAGAAGTGAGGTTAATAGCTCGATCAATAAAAACAATATCAACAATTAGCAATTAAAGTAAAGTCTAATTCCCTAATAGTAATACTACTCTTTGGTGAAATAGAAATTGCTTTTACAGCGCCAATGAGGTTAACAGTTTTATTTATTAAGAATATTAATAATGTTTAGTAATAATTTTACTATCTCTTTATCCTATCTTATCATATAGGCGGATATCATATAAATATCATGAAATGTCTTGCACAAATTTCCTGAATGACATTCAATCGTGATAGTGTCCATTATCTCATTTGTGCAGTGCAGCAGATAATTTATTCACTCGCCTTTTGAATTTCAAATGAACTTTTACTGAATGTTTTCTATACTTGTTTACAAAAAGCTGCCATCTTTTCACTTCTAATATTTTTTTTTGGTGAAAACATAATGAACTCCTATATGTATTGTGTTAATTTTCATTGCTTTCGCTCTCGCACTGCCAATTTTCAAATTTCCATTTTTATACTGAATTGCTGAATGTATGAATGTGACTATCCAATTTTCTTCCATTCCAGAGTTCAAGCTAAAGAAGAAACTGTTTTGCGAAAACTTCCACTCCTCTTAAAACCCCGATATTTTGATGAAGTGTGCAAAATTTTATACATAATTTGATGGCTTACACTACTGTTTCATTTTCACGAAGATCAGTCTTTACTCATATACCTTAATACCAAGAAAATTATATTCGAGAATGACGCACTATTTTACACCCATCGTCTTTATCCTAAAAGGGCTAAAAAAATAAAAAAAGCTCAATTTTCTCTATAATAGTGGGCGGTTGATTTTTCCAGTATAAAAGGGGAGAAATCTATATGGCGTATGTAATGTACTCTATGAGTAAGGACCTAAAAACTCGGAAAGCAAACGGGGCTCACAGTATTTGTTACATGCTCGTGTAACTGTTGTGGGCGTGCCCTTTGAGGATTTTGAATCATTTGCAAGGCTTTTTACAAATTTATAGACACTTTAGGCGAATCCTTCAACAGATTTGGCCCATTTTCAATACCAATCTACCCTCTTCAAGAACTTTTAATATTGCTGTCAAATTTGAAGTTGAAAACTTCACTTTTGCTGCTATGAGAATGTTTACAATCGGTAGACGAGCACACTGCTGAAGGCCTGCTTAAATCGATTCAGAATTTGATGGAGAATATACACACTTTATGGGGTCTCTGAAGCTTCCTTCTTTATTGCAATAATAAACAAGCATACAAGACATTTCATCAGTATAAGCGCTTTTCTTGAAATACGACTTTTCAAACCGGCCTTAAGCACAGCTCCACCATTTTCACGCTTTTCGTATTTTTATTTTATTTATTTATTGTTTATAGGTATTATGTATATGTTTAAAAAGTATGGAGGTAGATCATACGTTCGCCTGTATTGAAAACTCTGCCCCTCTTGACATTTGAACCCGCAATCACTGAGTTAAAATTGTTAGTTAAGAAAAGTTGCTTCTTTTTTGCCGAAATCTGCTTCGAATAGCAATCGGACTCTAAATTGCACCGCCTACGATCTGATTCGTATAACTTCGCGAGGACAGCCATATTTGTCTAAAATAATTTTTTATTTTTAATGCTCAAATACGCGCTTCATAATCTTTTTGAAAGTTATTACCTTACTGCCTTTGCTGCCATCCCAAAAAAATTGTTAAATAAACG